TTAAGATTTTTTATTGGGTTGATGAAATGATAATTACTGATCATCAAAGATGAGTGTGAAAGAATTTTTCTGTATATCATCATGATTTATAAGTTGCATAAATTGCGTTCTTGATATCTTAATAAAATCATAACCCTAACTATATCAAAAAACTAAGCCAATGGAACATGCAGATTATCTAAGAAGGTGAGTAAGTACATGAGGTTAGGTAAATACATACGCACGTACATACATAAGTAAGTATACGATAATTAATAACTATTAGGGATGTTAAAATTTATATTTGTTCCAGTCTGGTCCTAGGGACCTTCATATTAAGCTAAGGACTGAACGGGATACAGTTCATAGACCATTACAAGAACCGTCCGTAAAATTGCAGTTCTACCAATCAAGTTTAATTTGACGCAAATTTATATCTAAATATATATTGTTTATTACATATTATAAATGATTCACAATAATATATATTTATTTATGCAAAAATCGCAAAACCAAATTTATTCATAATACATAACTAAATATAATTTGTCACTATACTATATAATTTTTATTTCTTAAAATTACTATTTACCCAATTGTTATGACAAAGTGAAGCACGAGCTGTGACTATCAATTCTATTCCGAACATCACTTAGTGTATATTTTGCAATACTAAAAATCGATTCATTTATAGAACCATCTTGGGACCATTCTGGGACTTGGTCCCACTCAGGTCCTTGGACCGGACCATGTTGTCCTCATTTAAAACCAGCGAGGACTCGGTCTTTAAGGATCGATTAACATCTCTAATAACTATGATATATGTAATTCCTAATACTATAAACGCTTGCGAGTGGGTCTTGCATCATGTGAATAGCAGTTGTGGTTTGTTATAAAAATCTATATTAATATAGAATTCAATACACATATTGGCAGACTCAATTTTAAAAAAAGTAATTTGTTGAAGGGTAAAGTACTTAGACATAAGCTCTCATATACGATTTTGTCTAGCCAATTGGTCAATAATTGGCTGCTCTTTTTTAGGTCTTCTGTTTCTGTTTCTGGTTTTGCGTGATGACGTCGCGCAGCTATCTAGTTATTTAATAATCGCAATGTTCAGTTTTATGTTGATCTATTAACCAATGAAGTCAGTGTATACTTAAATGCATTTGATTAGTTATACAAAAACGGGATCAAATGTTAAGACTTATATATCAACGAGCAAGTTATAACCAATTTATTAACATTAATAATTGTTCATCATTATCGTTATCGTTGTGTGCAAACTAAGAGAAATGACCAACCAAAAAAGGAAATGGTAGGACCAATACCTAGGAACCTTTCATATCATACTACTAGACCACTAGTCAAATGACAATCCAAAATACAATCAAATCTCACATTCTTCAGGTCGAAACATGCTAAAATGCTCACTGTTTCTTTTTAAAAACAAGACCTGATTAACCAAATCTGGAGACAACCAAGTACGCTTTGCAGATATATAATTACCCGCATCTGAAAATAATCTCTCACTTGGTACAGATGTTGCGGGAATTGATAAATATTTTTGTGCAAGTTGGGATAATACAGGAAATTCACTTTTGTTTACATTCCACCACTTTAAAGGATCTTGGTCAACATCGATCGTCCGGTACTTCATATAACATGACACTTCATCCTCCTCAGCTAAAAATGAATTGCTTAATCCCTTACGTTCTAAAGCTTGAAAGAAATCATCGTCATCATCATTACAATCATTAATGGGCGTTGCTTGTTGAATACTAATATCGCTGGCTTGAAAATCTCTTTTTTCAGAATCATATTGCACTTGTAATAGCTTAAGTGATTCGTCTTTTTCTTCATTCGTATCGTTCCATTTAAAATCTTTAAAGCGGGGATCGAGTATCGTTGCAATTCGAACTAAATCTGATGGTGTTGACCACAATTCATCAAGTGATAAAAAAATAGCTGCCCGAACTTTTTGTAGAAGGCCAACAGTATCAGCAGTTGGTAAATATTCTACATGGTTAAAATCATCTACATTTTTTTCAGAATTTCCTTTCTTAATATTTTGACTATATTTATTTGTTCTTCCTTTACTTTTTTTTCTCCCTTTTCCTTTGGTCAACCGCATTTGTTGTCGAAATTGGCGATGAGCATATTGCCAGTGCTGCCTTGAACCACCTGATGGAGTTTCATCTTCTTCGCTTGTTGAACTGTCAGATTCTTCTACTTCTTCCTCATCATCATTTTCGCTTTGTGTTCCATATACCAAATTTAGATATGTATTATAAGTTTCACCATTTTCATAATTAGGTTCAAATGACTTTTTTAATATTCCAATATAGGGATGAACAAGACTTAAAGTACAATATGTTGCTCCACATATTCGGCGTGTTATTTTTTCAAATGGTGAAAGAAGTTTCACCATGTCCTGAAGAAATCTTTTTTTTTAGAAAAAAGAATAAATAATTATTATTAATATTATATAATATTAACAGTGCTGCCACTTTACCGACAGTCATTTCACAAACAATTCATTTAGCCGACTTTATGTATGGTATTTAATTAGTTACAGGTATATATTTTTAGGGAATTATTAGTTGATATAATATCGGTCAAATGAGCTATTAGGAAAATGATGGTTGATAAAGTAGGGCGGATTTTATTAATATATAATCATATTATTATATAGGGATTTGCACGGGCCTAATAAAATATAGTTTAGAAAATTTTCAGTTATTTAACCTGCACAGACCCCACTTTAATCTTACTGTTTTTCATCAAAGGATAAGCATAATTGCTCTAATTTTTCCCCCTCTTTTTGTGATAATCGATCAGGCATTTCTAACAATGTATTCGAAACAGACCGCATTGAAGTGTGTAGTTCTAATATTCTCTTCCAGGCATAATAAACAGAGTTTCATCTGGTCTTAACATCTGTTAAGACTTCAAGTGGATTATAGTGATCATCTTCCGATAACTGACCAGAATTTTTTTGAGCGTCTTTAAGTCTTTGAGCTTGTTTTGGAAGACGAAAAAAAGCTTGCAAACTTTTAACTCGATGATGCACCTGTTTACATTGCTTTAAACCCTGCAAAATTGAAAGTTGCAATGTGTGTGCAACGCAAGGCTGCCGTTTAACTTGTAAAAATCGCTCACTCACTAGTCGAACACCCTTTATCATGTTTATAGCATTGTCTGTTACGATAGTTAATGTTATATTCGATAAATTCCAATTCCTTATGACCTGACATAATTCAGCACTAATAATTTCGCCTGAATGCGGATATGGAAGATGATTGCATGATAATAACGCTTCATGAAATTCAAAATTAGATGTTACCCATGTTGCCGTTATACCAAGATACCCATGACGAGATTTTGATGTCCATAAATCCGTAGTTAAATGGATGGCAGTAATATTTTTACTTAAAAGTAAACAAAGCTGTTCCATATTCCATACAAATGAATCATAAAGTATGGATTTTACTGTTTTATCACATGGGATTTTATAACCAGGCTCACAGGTAAGAAGAAGTTCGCGAAAGGATTGGTTTTGTAAAATATATAAGGGTTGGACAAATTTAACAATAAAAGAAACAAGCATTTGAGTAATAAGTTCTTGTCGTTTTGATGAGCACGGAGTTGCTTTTGTATATTCAGTTATCTTGGTTTGATCATGTCGAGGCTACAAAGCATAATAACAAATTACTTTTAATTCTAATTTGAAATTGTGATATAATTTGTACATACTTCATTACGTTCATCCAAGAATTCCAAATAATTTTCCTTTGTTATTTTATGCTTATCACGTAAATGGTTAATAAGGTTTGTTGTGTTTCCGCCTCTTCGATTATATGGGTAAGGCTTATCTCGTGTACCAGATAGATTAATGTCACATACTTTGCAATAAGCAACAGAGGGATCATTTGGATCTAGTTTAAAAAAATAGGATGTATGGCTACGATTACTATGAAATTTTGTGTTTGTTTTAACAGATATAGCTTTTCGTTTTTTCCGAGTTAAGCTATTAGCACTTGAAGCTGAGGGTAATGTTGAAATGGTTTCAGCTTCAGAATAAATTTCAACAGATAAATCTTCCATGTCATCCATATTTTTTGGAAAATAAAATTTTTAATATAAACTATATAAAGTATCACGAAAATATAACAAACTGCAGTATTAAAAGATTTAGATGCGGATACTAGAAGTTTTTAAAGTTTAAATGAATTAATAACTTCTTTTTTTTTTTTTTAATTCGTAATTAGGTAACAGATCACTTTTAGAATTTGCACATTTGTTCTTATACGTATGCATTAAAAGGTCTAAAAAATAAATATATTTTAATCCCGAATTAAATCTTGTTTTTTACAGTCACTATATCAAAGTAACCAAAATAACCCTTGTTTTTTAACTTTACTCGCAATCATTATATATCAGGTAACAAATTTATAATTTATGCATATATCAGGAAAATAGGTTGGTGCGCCATAGGAAGAAATTAGATTTAGTAAAAACACAGAACCTTTAAAGCAGGTAAGACTAATTTAATTCATATGTTTAATCTGTTAATCGTGGAAGCTCAAATTCCTTAGAATAATGATAATACACTATCGCTATATGACATACGATTTAATTACATATCAGATTTCTAACTCAATCATTACATACTGGAGGAATCGTCGATGTTACACGACTGATCCTTCACCCGGTGTGCGACATATAAAAAAATTATTTTACAATACCACTAGTACATGTTAGTAATAATAATATCCTGATCCGTTGGGAATTAGCGGAAACGAAGTTTCCGCTTATTCACATACGGTCAGGGT